AAAAAAAAAAAAAAAAAAAACAGTTGCTCTCTCATTGGCCCTTGCCTGCAGGCCAGGTCTTCACATATATTTTGTTATTTTGTAATGTTTTTTTGAAACCCTTGTTGAATAAGGCTCTTTCTATCTGTTGTGAAGGCACACACTGTTTTTTGCACTCCCCTGCTCTCCACAGTAGTAGTAGTAGTAGTAGTAGTATGGATTCCGTACATCTGGGCCTAAGTCCTCCTCTGTGCAAGCACAGATTCGAACCGGCGACTTCGAAACTCTCAGGAGTGTGTGATATGCTGCGGGACACGGACTTGCTTGCCTTTAGTTGTGCAACAGTTTGAGAATATAGAAAAATACACGTTCAACTGCACAAGCTTTTGCAATGCCGTCAATCTAACTATCACTGACTCTGTCTGCACTTTGTCAGGACCGCTGGCTTGTGCTCTTATCGCCTCCAATAATCGGTCTCCAGCAGACGTTTTCGGGGAAAACGAAACGGAAAAAAAAAGGTGGACCGCTGGCTTTCTATCTGCAGTCGGAGACCTTTTTGAAGGCGCATCAACAACCGTGTCGCACACCCTCCATCCTTAATATGCTTGTCGAAAAAAAATATGTGTGAATATATGCACCTAGCTTTCCCGGGTCGCGTGGCCGGGTGGCCCAGGCGCCTTCCCGGAGGGGGGGGGCACACCCAGGGTACCCAGGGCTTGCAAAAAATGCACTCTTTTTTTTTTTTCTTTTTTTTTTTTGACTTCGGTGTCTGTCTGCGCTTTCTTAGTACTGCCCGTATGCAGCCTCGTTTCTATGTCCTATGCATATGGATTTATGTGTGTGTTGGGGGCAGGGGCGCGGAGAGGAGGGTGAGGGGAGGGGGTGCAGGAGTCTGAGCAACTCTGTCCTGCTGGTCTCAGCAGCAGACTCGGTATGAGTGTGGACTCAACACTCAGACTCAGTCCGCTGCTCCCCGTGATTCCAAACAGCCATGCAATCAAACTCGAAGTCATGTTCTAAAGAATGCCAACCTGAAAACAACGTAAGTGGCAAAGTGCAGCCGACAGTTTTATAGCATCTGTTGCACGGACTTAGAGGTCTTATCAATTGTAATCGACAGTGAGCCTCCATTGACATATCATGGCAACAGACGTCTTATCAATTGTAATCGACAGTGAGCCTCCATTGACATNATCGACAGTGAGCCTCCATTGACATATCATGGCAACAGACGTCTTATCAATTGTAATCGACAGTGAGCCTCCATTGACATATCATGGCAACAGACTAACAGTCGTAACAAAGGAAGAAGAAGAAGAAGAAGAAGAAGAAGAAGAAGAAGATGTACAAGAAGGAAGAGGCACGACATTGATTGCCTTGGAATCAAAAGGGATTAACTGTGGGAGAAAAACACCACTTCGACTATGACCATTGAACATCATCAGCCCATAGACCGGTGCAAGTGTAGGAATTCCAGCTTCCTCTCCCGATGAGCCCTATTCCCAGTCGCTTTCCCGACCATCTTCATCACTCTCATTGCCGCTTTCCTCCACATCCGTTGGATCATTTTCCACGACCCTTGCCGTCCTCGCCACCTTATTCTTCGGCCACTTCCACAGGCGTGTCTCCATACCGTCCACTGTGAGTGCAGGGCCCCCTTCCCCCTTCCTCCATCGAGTGACATGCTCTTCCACCTCACCCCCTTCACCACCATCCTCGCCGGCCGTAGGGCATGCTGATGCAGCTGGCTGAAGCAGGTACTTTCGCCCCCTTTTCCTTGCCAGTTTCGGACCAGTGTCAAGCTGCACCGTCTTCCTTCCTGACAGACTCACGGTCAAGTTGTCGTGCTGCACGCCCCGGACCTGCGCAGGGAAAGGAAGGGGTTTGAACCACACCCGGGACGGCTGCTGCACCAGGTGGCCGCCTGGAGTACACTCAAGCGACTCCCGTTGCACTCCCTTTTTCATTTTTCTGCTACTGCAGCGGATTGTGCTCTCGTCGCTTCTGCGGACCATAGTGGTCTTGCCGCTGCTGCTGCTGCTGTCCATCCTGCTTTGTCTGCTGCTGCTGCTGCGGTCCATCCTTGTGCTGCTGCTGTTGCAGATGAGTCCCTCTTCTTGTTGCTGTTGCTGCTCTAGTCCTTCGTGTTGTTGTTGTTGCTGCTGTTGCTGCCCATCCTTTTGCTGCTGCTCCTACTGCTGCTGCAGTCGTCGTGCTGTGGCTGATGCCGCTGTTGCCGCAACACATCCGCTCGCCCTTCCGTCGTGCTGTGGCTGATGCTGCTGTTCCCGCAACATATCCACTCGCCCTTAAATCTGCTGATGCAGGCCTTCCTCTTATCGTTGCTCCTGCAGTCCTTCCTCTCGCTGCTGCTGTTGCTGAACTTTTTCCTCTTGTTGTTGCTGTTGCGTGCCTTCCATATGTGGCTGTTGCTGAACCCCCTCCGCTGGTAGACATCCGCCCATCCTCCTCGGAGGGGGGACAACCCTCGAATCCGTTGTTCCATGAGGGCGCGATCACGATGAGCACGGGACTGCGCCCTCGCCCTGTTAGCGTCGTCATCGAAGTCCATGTCCACTTCAACGCATGCGTTGAAGTCCATCCCCCGAGGCCGCAAGAACTCCAGGTCACTATCAAGATCACCCCGCTCCACGTTACGCGTGAGGTCGTCATCCAGTTCGTTACCGTTGCTGGCCTTTGGCGACTGCAACGTAAAGTTTTTGTCATCTTCCTTGCTCTCCTCAATATCCTCTTCCTTGTCGTCCACACCCATCTGCGCCTTGCCTTTGCCGCCATCAACAACTTCAACAACCTTTTTGTTCTTGCCTTTGCTTCTCCAAATAAGGTCCTCCCCATTATCAGTGCCGGTCGAGGAGCTTAATCCATCGACGACACGAGGCTTCAGGACTCTAGCTCGGGGGGTCTTTGCCTGTCGGGCCACTTCATCGTCACTCAAGTCTGCTGGAGTTGCAGACTTGGGCAACGCCGCAGGATCATTCGGCGTTGGTGCCTCCACATCGTCGAAGAATGTAGCCCACATGTCCAAGTACCTTGCCAAGCTTCCCGTACTCTTCTTTCTTCTTAATGTCCAGCAGCTGAAGATTCCAGTGGATGTACATTAACTTGGCGAGGCTGTCAGGCGACAGCGGTCCCCTCCTCTTGTCATGGTCAAGATCGAGAGAGGACCTGCTCCTCTCATAAGGGGTCGCAGTGCTCCACATCGATGTGACCCTTACAGCAATGTCTCACAAGTCCTTCTGAGAGCCCCCATGGAGGTTCCACCATTCGGAGGCTGTCATTTGAGCAAGGGGGCTGTCGAAATTTCGTTCTTTTAATGAATATGTTCTAAGTTTCATCGAAATCCTGATAAAATAGCTAGGTAAAGGAAAGCTAGAAAAGAGGAGTTAGAGCTACAGCGATTTGGATCCACTGATTCGCTGCCGAAGCCAATTTACTACTTAGCAAATCAGCCTATGAGCGCCTTTGACTGTGACGTGGCCGATTTGCTGAAGTACATGGGAAAGCTAGAAATCCTCGTAAATGCTAGCTGGGGAATCAGCCTCGTGAATGTTAAAGTACGAGGACGTAAGTCCCATCTTGGACACTCGAAGCCAATTCAGCAAATCAGCCTACGGGGGCTGCTTGTAGCCAAGAAATAGGTAGGCGAAGGGTGAAGCTGGGCATTAGGAGGCGTGCGGATCATAGCAAGAATGATCGACTACACGCTAAATGGATCGATGACCAGTTTTGTTTGTTTTGACAATCAGATCGAATGGCAGAATGAACAGAGGATGGAAAGTGTATGGGCCACAACGGACCGAGATGCACTCAGGACTACTGTCTTCACTTGAATAGATGGAGAAGCATGTGTTGAAGGTCCTCAATTCGTATGCCTTTGCACAAAGCACACAACGGTGATGCCCTAGACGTCCTTCTGGACACCAGTTTGCTGTCGGAACCGCCAGGTGCATAATCTGCCATAAAATAACTCGCTTGTTTGACTACAGACAGATCCATCAACAGTTTCCAGAAACGAGGCAGTGCTGACACCAGCCTTTCTGCCGTATTCTGTACCCAACCAGAAGCTATCCATCTTTTGGCCACCTGCCATCCTACATCTATCGGAGGACGAGTGAGCTGATACCCCAATCTCGTTGAATATTGGTATAGTTTGAGCAGTTTCCCGGGGGAGAGGGGATGTTTCCATGCCCAATCCCTTGGGTCCACCGTCAAGGAGTATGCTGGCAATGAGATAACGAAAGGTTTGACCGAGTGGCCCTGGGGCAGAAGTTGTTCAGTTTATGTTTCTGCGTAACATAGTTTTTTTTCAGATTTTGTATTTATTTTATTTTTTTTGGCTGTGACCTTCATTAGTCCTTGCACGGCCGGGCTGCCCGGGAAAATAGGGTGACCCGGGCGGCCCGGATGGTGGCCTAGGTTAGGCCCCAATTTTTTTTTATTTTTTCTTTTTGGCTGGGACCTTCCCTAGTCCTTGCACGGCCGGGCCGCCCGGGAAAATAGGGTGACCTGGGTGGCCCGGATGGTGGCCTAGGTTAGGCCCCAAAATAATTTTTGGCGGGGGCTGAACGCCTTCGGGTTCGGACCCCGAACGGCAACCCGAACGCTAGTACGTACGGAGGTCGGCCCGGGGCCCTCCGTACGTACGGGCTGGTGACCCTGATCAGAACAATAATCAGAATAAGAATAATACAGGAACACAAATAATAATAAGAGAAAAATAAAAATAAAAGTAATAATAATAATAAGAAGAATAATGATAACAATAAGAAGAAGAAGAATCACAATAATAATTAGAATAAGAATAATAATAACCCCATTTCCTGCAGGTGATGCTCTCCACCAATAGACTGGAGCAACCAGAAAGGCTGGTAGGCAGGGCTGCTCATATCACCCCTCCTAACAACTAGAGTGGGTTAAGAAAACAAAAAAAGTAATTATAATTATAATGATAATGATAAATAATAATCAATAATAATAAATGCAATCGGACTCGCTTTCAATCACACTTTACATGCATGCAAACAGGTGCGCAGCAAACTGGTGACAAGCGCCCGCTCAGAACTCAGAGATGTGGTAACCAAGAATACAGCTCAGATACAAGTTCACTTCAATGGCTATAGCGACTCAACAGGATCACCCTGGATATCCCACACGCGACACTCTGTACACACACACACACACACACACACACACACACTGCACGCTATCTACATCTATGGCGGCTATGGCCGCTGCTACCCTATTGCTATGGCTAAGCTCCTTCTCTCTTGCCCACTTCGTCTTCGGGCTCACTGCAGACCACCTCGCACAAGTCGTTGTGGCAGCGCTTCCGCATGGCTCAGGCAGGAATGAATGGATGGCTGGGCGCTGCCTCTTGATTTATACTTTTGTATGTTGTTGGTCTGCCCCTTTCCCTTGCCCGTGGTGCCCACAGTCCCATGCGGTACTTGCTTGACTGGACTAGGACTGACTGGGACCGGTACTGCTGACTGCATCAGTTTGCACTGTCAACTCGATGCAGTCGCACTGTTGACGTACTGCAGTCGGGCACACCACTTGCCCACTTGCCTCTGTCTAAACGTGAGCAAGTTTGAAAGGCCACTACTGGGACCTTCCGGAAGGCCGTGGACTTGGCCTTTCGATACTGTAGCAGCTATGACTTCCAGGCCTGACTAAGACTCCTACCCGACAGGTCTACAGATTGAACCCCTATAGCCTGCAGACCTACAATGACCTACCAACTGTTACAGATACACAGGTCGCGGGTTCAACTCTCGGGGTCGACACAGGTAATGTACACAGGTAAGGCTAAGTCTAGGGATCGAGCCCTGGGATCTGCATTCGCTACTGCACACAGGTGAATACCATTTCATAAATATAAATATAATAAATATAATAAATATAATAAATATAATAAATATAATAAATAATGCGAGGAATGACCCCTCGTGGGGCACTTGTCAGCCATGCACGTGTTCTGGGCTGAGGCCCCCAGCAAGCCCTGTGCCTGGCCTAAGTGAAGGCGGGCCTGAATATCCACGTGAGGCCTATTTCCGACATTTTTCCATATGTGGGAAGTCAGACAGTTGCGGCATGCCAGTTTGGTTACAGGGAAACATGAGCCTTCGGGCTCTTTCCAGAAACATGGGCTGCGCTGTACAGTTGAGCCCAGGGCCTGGGTGGTTGTGCCCTGGGCACACACAGTGTGAGGCCAACACACCACGCAGCGGCCACGAACGAATGAGAAAGCGGCATCGTCGTCACACATGAGCCGTGAGCCAATGAGAAAGCGGCGAACACTGGGAGGCTGCGTGGCTGTCTGAGTGTGCCTAACTGCACGAGGCCCAGACCAATATTGGAAACTGGGCCTGGGCGCAGACACCTGGGGCCCAACCGAAGGTACTGGGGTCCCCCGCACGCCTGGCCAGGCCAGCCAGCCGCGACATTCCATAAAGGAAAGTGTGAGCCTCTGCCAGAGGTATTCTGGCCTAGGCAGGCAATGCGGACACGCTGCTGCGTCGCTGCGCAAGTGTCTGCATGGGCGCTGGTGGTCAAACGCGCGCACGTGCGCTGAGGTGAGGGGCACTGCAAGGGCAGCGGGCACACAGCAGCCATAGCCGGGCTGCAGGAGCGCAAGGCAGGTGATGGTGAAGGTGGTCTTCGGGTAGGAGGCGCATGATGTGGAGAGAAGAAGGCTGATGATGAGAGGAGAGAGAACATACCTGGTGTATGCTGGTGATCGGCATTGGTGTTGACGTCACGTACATTGGTCTTCGACTTCAGAGTGATCCAATTGCAAGAACGTTGATAGGCTAGATAGGCTGAGTAGGATAGGCTGGGCGCTGGGTGCCAGACGTTAAGTGCGACATTTTTGGATACAGTGTTGGTGTGACAAGAGAGTGGCAACATTGACAGCTGAGTTCATTGTATTGCTTTTATGCGGACGGTATCTTGGTGCATTGCAGTCTCTGCTTGGTTCACAACTATCTGAGCTACTTAGTGATTTTGCGACTTGGATTTGCTCTCACTCATATTGCACAAATGGTAGAGTCTTCAGGTCACATGTCATAGATCACGGGTTCGAGTCTGGCTGGGGACTTTGGGGGGGGGGTTCTTGTCCAGCTTGGCCTGTCATCTCTTCAAATGAACACATAGTTCCCTCTACATAGCACTGCACATATCTGGCCTTTGGGCACATACATCTCGCTAGAGCACACATAGACTGCACGTATCTGGCCTTCGGGCGCATACATCTCGCTATACAGGTACACAGAGCACACACAGCCTTCAGGCAGATACAAAAACACATGGCCCTATGGGCTCATACAAGCATACATAGCCTCTGGGCATACACACACAGGCCCTATGGGCTCATACAAACATACATAGCCTCTGGGCATACACACACAGGCCCTATGGGCTCATACAAGCATACATAGCCTCTGGGCATACACACACATACACACAGATTACAATACTTGGCTGGGGGGGTCTATCAGGTATGTGACGGGGTCTACTAACGCATGGCTTAGCTGTAGGATAGGGGTAGGGATATAAGTTCCTCCGGCTAGTCTGAGCTCCACCTAGCCTTGGGTAAGCTAGGGGAAGGACGGTAGGATGTGTCCGCGGCCGCTGGCCTGCCTTGCTTAGGTAATCCTGCTGGGTAGACTCTCTGAATTGGGCCTGTAGAAGATTGCATGAGCCTGGCGTCCGAAGTTCCCGTACGGCAAGGTTCGTCCGCTTCCGCTTCCATCAGGGCTGGGAGGTTTGCCCTGCCTTGGTGCTTGTCACTGCTATCAGGTCCAAGTTGCCCTCGATACTGGTAGGGTGATGTTGGTCCTGAGTGCTGGTCACACTGAGGTAGGATAGTAGGGACACGGGGGTGCGCTAGGAGTATTGATGTGGGGATGGGTAGGGTAGGTGGCCTGCCTATCCTGTCAGGACAACCATTGGCTGCCGCTACTAGCAATCACCGCGTGTCTGGTCCTTGGCCTTGCAATAAGAATAATAGTTATTAAAAAAAAAAAAAAAAAAAAAAGAGCAACAGGCAGCCCTGCTTGACAAACCACTCTCGTAGACGGAACTTGAAGCGTTTGTTGGGCAGAATGGAGAATGAAAAAGGTCTTGGAGTCGATGGGGATGACAGAAGAATTCCGGGTCCGTTTCTGGGCCCATTTCTGGG